TTGGCCTAGTTCTGTGCAGTGATATTTGCAGGACTGCTCGTGCTGTAGACAATCACTAAAACACAACATTTGAACAGAGATAATTATTATATTGTGTAAGCAGCTTTTGTATGATTGATCCTGAATTTCTGTTATACCTCTTGCTGGAGTTGTGGGTCTCTGTGCTTCACCTGCGCAGAGAAGGAGGAACGTGAAACTATCGAGATTCGTTCCTACAGCCACATTCACTTCTGCCAAGTCATGTTTGTGTGAAAAAAATAGAAATTATATCATGTTAAAGGATTCTCACCTCTTATAACAGTCAGTTGTATTTCATCACCAATCAGATCAGGCAGCAGTTTAATATCCACACCGAACGAATAATTGCCAGAATCCTCTGCAACCAATCCCAGATGGCAGCGGTGAGGACGTGTGCGGACGTGTTGTCGAATAGAGCGAATCGCCCCTGTTTTGCCCACCGGTTGGAATGAGCCGTCTGAACCAGTTTCTCAAAGAAGAAGAAACCATCAGTTTTGCCGAAGTACTTGGAGTTTGTCTTGTAGTCCGATGGATAAATGGCTTTAAAGGTTACATATTTTCAGATCTTAACACAGCTAGTATCCAGTAGGCAGGCTGGAAATTAAGTTAAATGACATTTAAAAAGTATTTCTAGATATTCAGTCACGATTCATGTAATACAGCAGGCATAAAGCACATAAGCAGCAGTCTATGTTACTGTATTTCCAACAAGTGGCAGATTTAAGATTAAGATGATCATTTGCAGAATAACTAGCAATTAATAACACAATTAGCCTAACTTGTTACAGTAATGCGCTTTTAAAGGCAAGAATCCACTTTTTTCCAACGAGTGGTGATTTGTTATTCCACTATATACAGTTTTACAGCAAAGCAAACTGATGTAAAAATAGCTGGATTTTAATCTTGATTTTATTTATTTTTTCTGTCATATGAACCGGTCTTTTTGCTGAATCTGTTTGTTCAGATTATACATTTCAAAGAAAGACCCAAAAAAAAACAAAAGCAAAAATTAGTATATAAGTATTTTTTAAGTGATATACAAATTCATATTTTAATATTTAAATGTTCATATAATTTCATGTATATGTAATAATAATAATAATAATTTAATGTTAAGATGTTAATGGTGATATTTAGAGTAAATTGATCTGTTCAAATGTGTTAACTGCTGTCGCCATAAATTAGATCCTCATTTTTTTGTTCAATATATTATAGCGATAAAAGTAATTAAGTTTATTAGTAGATTAGGTCATTTATAGCTTTACTTTTGAGTAACTTGAACGAGGACTAGCCTATGCCAAGCTAGAGTTTCAAAGACAGTTTCCCCAGCAAAGTGATCGCTACAACTCACCTGTATAGATGCAGAAACAAAATACTCTTGCTTTCCAAATGCCGAATGGTTTTTAATTGATTCTGGTGTGTGCAGAGCATAAAACCGAATCTGTCTGGCAGGATTTCTTTCACTTCCTTGTTACTATTTAGGACCAATCCTCAACCAAACTTAAGACTGTAGCTAGTTGTACAAAGCAGGCAGTTCAAATGCATTTTACTGAACTTTCTCAATATGACCAACTTCTCTGTCAACGTGAACTTTTCACCATATAAAAATGACTAAAGATTAAGCCATTTGTAGTATTTTCCAACTTACAATATAATTTTATACTTAATTATATTGTAAGTTTTTGACTATTGAAAGTGTTTGTCTGTTTAAAAGAAATGTGTAGCAAATTGTTTCAGTTGCTTGTTCCTTTAAAGATTGATTAATGTTAAGTAAAAGCTAATGAAACTTGTTTTCAGAGAAACGGTTTAAGGATGTTTCAATATTTTTGCTGGAGAGCAAGACAAAAATGCCAATGCAGAAAAAAGCAGCTGAAAATGCAGAGCAGACACAGGTGATAAGCAGAATAGTACGAGTTATGAAAGTGAAAGTGAAGTGACATGTGGCCAAGTATGGTGACCCATACTCGGAATTAGTGCTCTGCATTAACCCATCCAAAGTGCACACACACAGCAGTGAACACACACAAACCGTGAACACACACCCGGAGCAGTGGGCAGCCATTTATACTGCGGCACCCGGGGAGCAGTTGGGGGTTCGGTGCCTTGCTCAAGGGCACCTCAGTCGTGGTATTGAAGGTGGGAGAGAGTGCTGTACATTCACTCCCCCCACCTACAATCCCTGCCGGTACGAGACTCGAACCCACAACCTTTTGGGTTATGAGTCCGACTCTCTAACCATTAGGCCACGACTTCCCCATAACTTTAAATTATATTTTAATGTATTAATGCATTATATTTTAACTTTAAATTATAACTTTACAATAGTTTATTAGGCAGTTTCTGTTTCACAAATCTATACCTGAGACATATGAGCATGATTTCTGTATCTGTTTAATAGGTAAAATACCATCTTAAGCTGGTTTTGTGAAAGCAACACATGACGTTTGGATGTTTGTAGCTGTCAGAGGAAACTAGGATTCTGATTGGCTGAGGATTCGGTGTTCATTCTCTCGTCTGATCAATAGTGTGATAGATCGACTCTTGAAAAGAATCAGCTGTGAGACTCTGATACACTTGACTCTGTCTATTGCTGTCCAGTTCTGTGTAGATCTGATCTTTTGTTTGTGCTGAAACAACATCAATGTAGCCAGCCGGTTCTGTGTATGTATAATCTGGGTTTGTGGGTCTATAAAGTTCCTCTTTTTCACTTTGAACTTTGGATAAGTCTGGAAGGTCACGGTGTGTTCTCTGGTGGCCATCCTTTATGAAATAAATACATATGATCAGGTTAATCAGAAAATGATATGCTGATAACAGTATGGTAAGCTGTAGAAGTTCAGGAACTCACCGGCACTGGGTTTGATATAGTCCTGGTGCAGTGGAGAACAGAACCTCATCAGAACGGATAAAGATTTAAGTGACTGATTTTTCTTAAATGGCTCATTATAATGTTATATTATCTATTATACCATGAATAGATGTGTAGTCTTGTTTGTTCTTGTTTATTTATTTGTTTTTTTTAATGATAATGGAATTAAGTGTTTTGTAATTAAATAAGTGTCCAGTTATTTAAAATGTTGTTATTTCTTATTTGCTGCTATAAAATTATATTATGTATATTTTTGGCATTATATCAGCCATGTTACTCTGAAGATTTTCCCGTTAAAGTATCATGGTCTTCAACAGAATGTGAGTGTTAAAGTGAAGTCTAAGTGACTTTCTGTATCAGGTGAGACATATTAGCATGTGTTGAACTGTAGATCATGTGGTTTCAAATAAATCACGTGGTGTTGGTGTGCTTGAGATGATCCACAGAGATCTGCTCACCTGAATTACTGCGGCTGTTTTGCTTGAGGACTTGAAACAGGCCGAACAGACACACGAAAAACCGGGCGCCAACACACATCAAAGCCACCATCATCATGAACCTCGAGTAAGACTCTGTCGATGCAAAGCTGACAATGACTTGCCTGAAAAAAGCAAAACCACATGCTCAGTGTGTGTGTGTGTCTGTGTCTGTGTTTCGTAAACTCACCGCCAGGCTCTTCCGGGAACAGGTCTGTGGTTTGCTCTTGTGGATGTTCAGCACAGAAAACAAAAGTGAAAGGTGTGTAGTTAATCCACATATACAGAAACCTCGGCTGGCATTCATTTACCCCCGTATGTGTGTGTGAATTCACTTCTCACACTGACTCATTACGAGAAGTGTAAGAGGAAGACCATGCTGTATCACATCCCATCTGAAACCCATATGAGGCTCAGTGGCACCTCAAAAATCCCCATAACTGATACACGTCAGTGTTTATGATGCCAAACAGATAGTGATCTCAATTATAATCACAACATGGGTTTGTGACAAATGAACGTGGAGGTTTTATTTATTTATTTAGTCATCATGAAGGTTTTAGGTTTCACTATATTATTTCAATAGTCCTGCTGTGTAACAATGGTTATAAAATACTAATTGTCCATTGTATCATGGTTCAGTTGACAGTAAGTCTCATAAACCACATGCACAATGTAAAAGCAGTTGTTATAACTTTAGATGGAGACCAAATTAATTTTTTTCCAACAGTTAGACTCCCTGCTGCATTCACGCAAACTGATAAAGTTTCTTGTTTATTAATGCTAAAAATCTCTTTATTATGCGTAGACATCACACTGGAGAGCTGAATAATTGAACATGGAAGTAATTCCTTATAAATATTACAAGTTCATTCGATTGTAGAAGGTAAACCTCACCAATTCCAATCGTAAAGGATATTTTATTTTATTTGTTTGTATTTTCACGTCTATCGCGGTTACTTTTAATGTAAGGTTGCAGTGTTGCATTTTTACAAAAGTTTCTGGTGTTCATGCGTTTTTAAACTTTGCCAGTTTAAAGTTTAAAGCAATGTTAAAATGCAGTAAGACGTAAGTTAACTCCATTCGGCAATCGCATCGCTCTGATTTTCCGAATTTTGAATGTAAATCTGGCTCTAAAATTACAATGCAATCTAAAATTTTCAGCAAAAATAACTATGTTGTGATTTAGATCGTTATTGTGAAAAATCTGGTATTTTATGTTTTGGTCCTATTGCTCACCCCTCCTTTGGTGTTTTTTTTTTTTTTTTAATTTATCTATTTATTTGACATTATTATTATTATTATTATTACTATTATTATTTGTTTTAACTTGTTAATTCATTTGTTTAACTTTATTATTTATATTTATTTGCTTAATTTTTGGACTATTTTTAAGGTATCATTTCATGATCAAATGTTTGACCAATTTGATAGTGCCACTCATTTAAATATATTTTTTCTTCATTGTACAATTTCCTCAATAATTTGAACACAATTTGAACAGATAATTGTGTGTTTATGGAAAAAAATCTGTGTTTTTTGCAGTAAATAAATGAATAAACATAAAGCCTTTTTCTTTGAAGACAGTAAAATTACACGTCACATCAACTTTTAAGGACATTGAGCATAGTGCATATTCAGCTATTGTGTATCTCACCTTTGGTGACTGTTATCCAGATCTCTGAGGTGAAATCTGGCAGCAGAGCGATATCCACACCACACCAGTGCTTTCCCGAGTCTTCTGGAGCCAGTCTAGAGATGTTTGCTGTAAGAAGATGAGCACTGGTGTCATCCAGAAGAGCGACTCTCCCTCGTTCAGACCTCGTCTCTGGTTGGGTGGTGTGAACACACTGAAGATCTCCTGGAGCAAATGAGCCACTCATCTGGCAGAAGTACTTGCTGTTGTTCTCATAGGTTTCAGGATAGCTGCAGCTGACTGAGATGTTGCTTCCCACAGATCCAGTGATGTTAACAGCCAGCGAGTTCTCCATCAGCCACAGTGCTGAAAGACCAAGAACTGCTGACAGATGCCATTTCAGAGTTAGTATGGTGAATTTTGGAGTTAATCAATGAAATCAAGCACAGTGAAGAGTAAAACATGCTATTCTCACACACTGAATATATTATGACGGATATCGTACCTGAGAAACTGATGGACGTGGAGGTTCTCATGACTTCAACCTCAACTCACACTACCTGTTCTCACGCTAACTATTTGGTAGATATTGTGTGTGTGTGTTCAGTTGTGTGTGAGTTACACTTCCCTAATGCACATGGTTAAGTATGACCTGTACCATTTGATGACCATCCCAGAAAGCCCGACCCAGTTTTCCAGTCTCTCTAGTAGTTTAAAGTTTAAAGCAATGTTAAAATGCAGTAAGACGTAAGTTAACTCCATTCGGCAATCGCATCGCTCTGATTTTCCGAATTTTGAATGTAAATCTGGCTCTAAAATTACAATGCAATCTAAAATTTTCAGCAAAAATAACTATGTTGTGATTTAGATCGTTATTGTGAAAAATCTGGTATTTTATGTTTTGGTCCTATTGCTCACCCCTCCTTTGGTGTTTTTTTTTTTTTTTTAATTTATCTATTTATTTGACATTATTATTATTATTATTATTACTATTATTATTTGTTTTAACTTGTTAATTCATTTGTTTAACTTTATTATTTATATTTATTTGCTTAATTTTTGGACTATTTTTAAGGTATCATTTCATGATCAAATGTTTGACCAATTTGATAGTGCCACTCATTTAAATATATTTTTTCTTCATTGTACAATTTCCTCAATAATTTGAACACAATTTGAACAGATAATTGTGTGTTTATGGAAAAAAATCTGTGTTTTTTGCAGTAAATAAATGAATAAACATAAAGCCTTTTTCTTTGAAGACAGTAAAATTACACGTCACATCAACTTTTAAGGACATTGAGCATAGTGCATATTCAGCTATTGTGTATCTCACCTTTGGTGACTGTTATCCAGATCTCTGAGGTGAAATCTGGCAGCAGAGCGATATCCACACCACACCAGTGCTTTCCCGAGTCTTCTGGAGCCAGTCTAGAGATGTTTGCTGTAAGAAGATGAGCACTGGTGTCATCCAGAAGAGCGACTCTCCCTCGTTCAGACCTCGTCTCTGGTTGGGTGGTGTGAACACACTGAAGATCTCCTGGAGCAAATGAGCCACTCATCTGGCAGAAGTACTTGCTGTTGTTCTCATAGGTTTCAGGATAGCTGCAGCTGACTGAGATGTTGCTTCCCACAGATCCAGTGATGTTAACAGCCAGCGAGTTCTCCATCAGCCACAGTGCTGAAAGACCAAGAACTGCTGACAGATGCCATTTCAGAGTTAGTATGGTGAATTTTGGAGTTAATCAATGAAATCAAGCACAGTGAAGAGTAAAACATGCTATTCTCACACACTGAATATATTATGACGGATATCGTACCTGAGAAACTGATGGACGTGGAGGTTCTCATGACTTCAACCTCAACTCACACTACCTGTTCTCACGCTAACTATTTGGTAGATATTGTGTGTGTGTGTTCAGTTGTGTGTGAGTTACACTTCCCTAATGCACATGGTTAAGTATGACCTGTACCATTTGATGACCATCCCAGAAAGCCCGACCCCAGTCTCTAGTCTCTCTAGTAGTATGTTATGATCGACCGTGTCAAACGCAGCACTAAGATCTAATAGTCTGATATTTTATATTTTGCCAGCCATTTGAGTGTAAGTACTTGTTCAGCTGATTAAAGACTACCTTTTCAATAATCTTTCCTATAAAAGGAAGATTTGATATTGGTCTATAGTTGCTCAATATGGTGTTATCAAGATTGCTCTTTTTCAGAAGGGGTTTAACAACTTTTCAGGGAGTTTGGTTGTCAGTCTCTCAACAGTAGCAAAAAGAGTGCGAGTGTTGTTTAAGTTAGTATTTATAAGGTTTGAGAAGAAGGTCTGTCTAGCTGTGGCTTGTTCCACTTTGAAAGCATGAAGGGTGTCTTTATAGATGCTATAGTGAATTTCAAGTTTCGTCTTCCGCCACATCCGCTCAGCTTTTCTGCATTGTCTTTTCATACTCAGTACTGCTGTTGATTTTCTCCAGGGTGCTTTTTGTCTGCCAGTCTTCTTGCTGACTTTCACAGGAGCAATATCATCAATAACATTCTTAACTGTTGAGCTAAAGGAATCAAGGAGAAGATCCACAGAGTCTGCAGAAATGCTTGGTTTTAAAGATCTAGCCTTCATAAATAGCACACTAGTGTTCTCATTAATGCATCTCTTTCTGACAGAGACAGATCTAGATTCAGTGGTAGCAGAGATCAGTATGTCAAAGAACATACAGAAGTGATGCAGATAGTGCTACATCCTTAATAACAATGGATAAAATGTTTAGACCTCTACTGATGATTAAGTCTAGAGTATGTCCACGATTGTGTGTGGGTTCATGCACATGCTGAATCAGGTCAAAAGTGTTTAAAACAGTTATAATTTCTTTTGTAGTTTTGTTTTCTGCATTATCTATGTGAATATTAAAATCCCCTGCAATAGCAAAACAGTCAAACTCTGAGGAAATCATTGATAACAGTTCTGTGATCTCTTCAACAAAGGCTGGAGAGTATTTTGGAGGCCTGTGAATAATGATAAACAGAATACGTGGAGCACCTTTCAGCACAATCCCTAGACATTCAAAAGACAAGTACTGACCAAATGACACTTGCTTGCATTGATAGACATCCTTAAATAGAGCAGCTACACCTCCACCTCTCCTAACAGTCCTGCAAACACTTATTAAAGTCAAGTTTAAGGAGGGGCTGTTTCTTCTAGCCATGTTTCATTAAGAAACATAAATCCAGGTTGTTTGTGGTTATTAAGTCATTGATTAGAAATTATTTATTTTTTAGTGAGTGAATGTTTAAAAATGCTAACTTGATGGCATTACTTTATGTCTTTACATCAATCTTAGTTTGATGCATAACAGGCCGCAGATTAAATGGGTCAGCCATACTGCTTGAGAAGGCCATAGATGTTCCATCACAAATAAAACAGAAATAGAGAAAGCTACAGGCACACTGTATTTATGCCATGGTGTTAATTAACTTGAGTGCGCTCCACCTGTGTTAATTAGGCTAAGTATCTGACGCGCTCCTCCCGAACCTTGTAAATATAACATAATTTGTTTCAAGAACCGCAATCCTTTATAGAAGTTTGTGGCAGTTCATGCAGCAAGTAGATTGCACAAGAGGCATTTTCTTTCTCATCTGTTTGAATGTAGGCAGCTGTGTTTTCCCGTCTCCAGAATGTAAGCTGCTGGCAGTGGGAGGCAAAGAGTCTTCTTTTTCATCGTATTATTCCAGTCCCGAAAAGTTTTTAGTTTAGTGTTTGTGCCAAAAATGTGTTGTTTGAGCACTGTGCTGATCTGCTGAAGTTAGAATCTTAGAAAAATACATAAACAGAGATACATAAACAGAGAGCAAAGCGTGGAGCAGTAAGCAAGAGCGCCCAAACGGTAGCGAAGCCGGAAGCGGATGTAATTAGTTACATTACTAGTTACATTACTTTTTTCCTGTATGTCCATTCAATGTACATGAAATAGTAAGTTCTGTGTGTTGCCTAGCCACAACATCCAAGCATAAACGTTCCCGATAAAATATTTGTTATTAAAGCATCGACATTACCAAACCACTGTTATTTTTAACTAAAATTGGCCGGCAGCCATATCACCCTGTAGCCCAAGACTGGTTACCCACTGAAGCTAAGCAGGGTTGAGCTGGTCAGTACCTGGATGGGAGACCTCCTGTGAAAACCGGATGAGACGTTAAACCGAGGTCCTGACTCTCTGTGGTCATTAAAAATCCCAGGATGTCTTTTGAAAAGACTAGAGGTGTTACCACGGCATTCTGGCCAAATTTGCCCATTGGCCTCTGACCATCATGGCCTCCTAACCATCCCCATATCTACCGATTGGCTTCATCACTCTGTCTGCTCTCCACCGATAAGCTGGTGTGTGGTGGGTGTTCTGGTGCACTATAATGAGAGGACTCGTGAGCGCCCAAAATTTCACCACTGCATAGGAGCTCAGGCTTTTTGAGTGGTGAGTAGATTCTAACACCTCTGCTTGGCCATTGCGTTCTAAAAATAAACATGGCTACACTGCAAACACCTGTTATAAATAGAAACTCTGCCTATGCTTGCGCCTGTTAATTAGTTGTTCTTGTGCAATAGATGAATAGCAATTTATTTGTTTTTAGATATTTTATGTTTAGATATTTCTATCTTGCCTTTGACAGAAATAAACTCAAAATAATGATTTTATTTCCAGCTACAGAATGCGTACTATTCTCTCTCCATGCTGAGTTTGTTTTCAATGGTAGTATCCAGTTCGCAGGCGCTTACCAGTCAAAGTAGGTCTCAGGTAGAGGACGCCACATGTACTACACCCTTTTTACAATCTAGATGATAAACACTGTATTCTGTCAGCAATGATGTACCACAGCGGTAACGTATAGAGACCTTGGCTTGTAACTATACTCTAATTACTATTTTGGAAATTGTAGCACATTAAATTATCTGTTACTAAAAAAAAATATCGAAATTACAGTAACACGTTACTAAGTAATGCGTTACTGCCCAACACTGGCTGCCACAGACCCAATAGCAGAAGAAGAATGCCAATAGATACAGTAGGTGCCTATAAGCACCTTTGAGTTGATTGGGTTGCAGGTACTGCCTCAAAACACAAAACTAGAGACAAATCTGTCAAGACGGATAAGGGGTTTTGTCTCGCTTTTGGCTCCCCAGTGCACCTGCTGTCACTTTCATTTGCACCAAAGCAGGTGAAACTGAGTCACAATCACTTCTGTTTTCTAAGGCTGCCCACACACTAGACGATTTTAAGGCCAATTTTAAGCCCGATCTGCACCCCCGAATGATCGGGGGGTGTGGCCCGATTCTAGGCTTGTCGCAAACTATTTTTTTTTTGTCCAAAAAATCCTATATTGGGTGGTGTCATTATGATTATTTAACTGCTCAATCGAGAATATATCCATAACTACACATGTCAGAGCAACAAGTCTGTGACGTCAGCACTCGGCTGTCCGTTTCTCATGAGGGTCACATGATCATACAGTCAATACTAGAGAGATGCTGCTGTGAGTTTGGACATGT